ATGTATGTATGTATGTATGTATGTATGTATGTATGTATGTATGTATGCATGCATGTATGCCGGTGGCCCACTTGGATTTTGACATGACAACCCGATTTTTGAAAACTTTCTTAGATGCAGCCACAAACCTCAGTGGAAGTCGGTACCTGACTTATTTTTCAAGTTATGTTCTGAACTTGCATGGATGGAGGATCTTTCCAATCCTCCCTTGTTGCTCCGCCATGGGGCAGTGGTCCTTGAAGGTCAAGACAGGAGTGTATGCACAGATACAACCAGTCTGAACTGGGCGTGCGAGTTCAGATTGAAACTTTTAGGGAGTGATCTATCGATGAATGTTCTCTGTGATCTCAAGTTTGAAGTATTTCATGTGAAAGATGGATTTACAAAGTGTTAACAGTAAAGTGAAGAAATATACAAACATCAAATTCAAACCTTAGTCACAAGACACTGTGTTTTATTATTTTACCTTATTATCTAATATTTATGGCAAATAGACATTTTGATTTCAAAATACGTAACAATATATACAGTATATATATAATACAACACGACTTCTAAAAAGTCTGAATGTGTTCATAAAAGATGAAGGTGCTAATAGTTTTCTATAGTCGATAGTCTATTTCTAACAGAAAGAAATCATAAGCATTATGTTCAAACAGTCTTATAGTCTATTTAAAGTGTTTCTCAAACAATGGGTTTTCCTTCACTTTGTTGGGAACAGGAATCCTCTTCTTCAAGGCCAGGGTGGAGTTGACCTGCTCGGCTGAGAGCAGGCTGTGCCACTGAGCCACCGGCCGCCGGGGATTGGACAACATGTCTGCCCAGTGCCTCAGCTGGTTCCCGCTAGCATCGCAGCCCAGGAAAACCTTTCCGATGGCGTCGTTCCTGGTCATGGCGTCATGGTCCCACACCGAGATCACCAGGTTCACCCTCTGAGTGGAAGACAACGACAGGATTTGATGTTGTGCATAAACAGGAACATGTAAAACAACTTATCCAACAAAGTTGTCAGGTCCTCTGGATGGTTTCTCTTTTTAATAAACAGTTTGTCCTTCATCCAAAGGACTTCATCAGTCCAAGGAGCCACAACAAACTCAGTCCCATAAGCAGCACACTCACATAGTGGGCCAACCAGTTTGATGGTGATAAGATGGTTTCTACAGAAGCCATCTTATGGCCAAACCATCTGTCCTCACTCCAACTACTGTCCCTCCATGTCCTCTCTAACTGCATCCATACATCTCCTCTTTATCTTTTTCCTGGCAGCTGCATTTCTAACATCCTTCTTCCAATATACTGTCCTTCCTCTGGACATGTCCAAACCACTGTCCCTCCTCTGGA